ATGAGGAAGCTGTTTGTGATAATATTTTGATTGCTAACTTTCTCACAGTTGGTGCATCGGTCCCATACATGATCCATCATTCAGCTACAATGAAAAACAATGTTGATAAGCCTAATAACTCCAACAAATTCTATTATAAACTTATAGTGAAATATGTTTATACTCACTAGGAGACATATTTGTTCGAGCAGCAACTGATGTTAGTTCTCCAAAAGTTCTTCTTGCATCTTTAAACCATGTTAGCTGAATTCAATAAATCGTGTTAGTTTAATCCAACAAAGTAATTATTATAATTTAAGTAATTGTCTACCTCATTTCCAAATTGGCCAACTGCTGGTAATGTAGGGTCTAATTTAGAGTATACATTATGTACAGCACGTATAAGGTTACCATCATCTCCAACACCGGGTCTGTATTGGTATCGGGGATTCAAATAATATGCTGTTCAAAGAAACACATACTCTAATAAGAGAAATAATACTTATGCAACTAAAGAAACGAATTGCAAAATTATGACATAATTTATACCTGCTGCATGCAAATCGTGGTATAATGTTTTATACCATCGGTCTTCAATTATCTTTATGACCCACCTTGCACCATGTTTTCTTTCCAATTCATCCTTCACTACACGCATCAACTTATATACTGCCCCCATAGTAGGATACACCTCTGTGTCAACGATCCGTAAAACTTTGTAAAGAGGCTCAAACACTTGGCACACATGTTCTGATTGAGTCCAAAAAGCATGATCAAGCACTATACTTTCCACCATACAACCTGTATTTGAGCGGCTCAAATTGTGGTTGGCCCAATCGTCACTAGTGAATAGTTGCTTCAACCCTGCTTTCTTATTGAGTATGCTGTCTAATGCAGTATAGTTGGTGGCGAATCGAGTGGTAGCTGGACGAATAATTTCTCCTTTACAAAATTCACGCATCTTTGCCAACAACCAACCGTGATTGTAAATATAATTTGTGATCGTTCTAGCTCTTTTGACCACAGTAGCAACATTCTCTCTCTTCCCCATTGCCTCAAACATGAGATCAATACAATGTGCTGCACATGATGTCCAAAACACATTATGATGCTTCATTAACTTTTTTCCAGCTTTGACAAATGCAGAACCGTTGTCGGTCATGACTTGGACAACATTATGCTCTCCCACCTCCATAATTACATCCCTCAATAATTTGTAAATATACTTGTAATTCTTTATATGGTCTGAAGCATCAACAGACTTAAAAAAAATTGTCTTTCCTTTGGAGTATACCATGAAGTTGATGATAGATAATCTGGTCGGGCCGGTCCATCCGTCACACATGATTGTGCAACCATTAGTTTCCCACTTTGACCTCAACTTGTTAACATACTCGCCAATGTCTTTATACTCCATATCCAAATATTTGTTTCTTATCTCATAGGGAGTGGGAGGTTGTACTCCAACACCGGCCTGTTGACATCCCACTATCATATTTTGAAATGATGTGATGATGCCTTCGCAGCAGGGACATTTTCATAGATAAAGAACTTGCTAATTAGACGCCCCATTCCCTCCTTCACATTACCTCCAGTGAAATAACTCCAAACACTATTTTGACGTGCTTTGGATGACTTATATAAACTTGGGGCTATTGGTGGTGTTGGTTGTGATTCTCTAAGACTGCCTCCCCGTCTCATTTGTGCACCACCACTTGTCCCGGAACCTTGTCCTCTATTAGGAATTTTATGAAGGTGTTCTCTTTCCCATGCTGACTGTTTGGAGGCACGTAATGCTTGTTTCAAACTGCGTCGTTCTTCAGGTCCCATGTCATCATCACATTCGTCCTCATCATCATCATCATCACTGTCAAGCTCTTGGCCATAGACTTCTCCCCGTAGCCCAGCTCGAATATTTTCCATTCCCTGTGTTATCTTTTCCTTCTGCTGTTTTTTATTTTTTAATAATGTGCTGATGAATGCCTTCACTTCTGGGGGGACATTATCGCATCGTTGGACATTTTTTGCTGGATCTAATCCACTAAGATGGTACTTAAGTCGTGTCACTCTGCCACTCTTCATTACCCGACCACAATATTTGCAAATTGTGCCATGTTTGTTTCCGTCTATTGGGTATCCATGTTCCCAAGCTGGATCACGTTTAGTAGCTCCACTGGACATCGTATAAGTACCTACATTTATTTTTCATGAAAATTAGACAAATATTTTTTGGCCAAAAAATATAGTAGTGATGACGGTTATATAAGAGAACCTAAATAATAAAGTTATTCTACAGAAGAATTAAATATGAAGTAAAGAAAATGATTGTAAAAATTTAAGTAATTAAAAAAATAATATGGAATAATAAAACCTAATATTAATGAATAATAATCCAATTTGATAAAAAAATAATCCTAATATAAATGATGAATAATATTCCTTTTTGATAATAATCCTAATATAAATAATCCTACTATAAATGATGATAATTATGTTTCATGAAAATAATCCTAATATAAAACATAGTGATGAATAATATTCCTTTTTGATAATAATCCAATTTAATAATAATCCACTTTAATAATAATCCAATTTAATGAATAATCCAATTTGATAATAAAAAAAACCTAATATTAATGAATAAAAATCCTATTTGATAAAAAAATAATCCTAATATAAAACATAGTGATGAATAATAATCCAATTTGATAATAATCCAATTTAATAATAATCCAATTTAATGAATAGTCCAATTTGATAATAAGCCAATTTAATGAATAATCCAATTTAATGAATAATAATCCAATTTGATAATAATCTAATTTAATGAATAATAATCCAATTTGATAATAAAAAAAACTAATATTAATGAATAATTATCCTATTTGATAATAAAACCTAATATTAATAAAATAATAAATAACATTAAACATATTAAAATTATCCTAGGGAATAATTATACAACATTACTTAATTACTTAAAAAAATTAACATGTAATTGTTAACATTACTGAACTACTTACAAAAATTAACATGCAAGTATTAATTACTTAAAAAAAATTAACATACGAGTCCACACAAATTTATTTGTTGTTGTATAAATTACAATAATATAAATATAAGTTTGTAAACTTACCTTAAATATGGAACCCTTTGTGTTCAAGCTTTGGAATGGAGCTGGAATGGCTTTGAAAATGGTAAGGGAAATAAAATAATAAATAACATTAAACATATTAAAATAATCCTAGGGAATAATTATACAACATTACTTAATTACTTAAAAAAAATTAACATGTAATTGTTAACATTAATTAATTACTTACAAAAACTAACATGCAAGTATTAATTACTTAAAAAAATTAACATGTAATTGTTAACATTACTTAATTACTTACAAAAACTAACATGCAAGTATTAATTACTTAAAAAAATTAACATGTAATTGTTAACATTACTTAATTACTAACAAAAACTAACATGCAAGTATTAATTACGTAAAAAAAATTAACATACGAGTTCACACAAATTTTTTTGTTGTTGTATAAATTATAAGAATATAAATATAAGTTTGTAAACTTACTTTAAATATGGAACCCTTTGTGTTCAAGCTCTGGAATGGATCTGGAATGACTTTGAAAGGGGTAAGGGAAATAAAATAATCGAAAAGGCTCTGAATGGCTATGATACTCGACCTCTTGAAAGAATGCAGCTTTGAAAGAATATCACAATGGCTCTGATACTTCACCTTTTAAAACAATATCGGCACACGGTTTTGAATGAAACCACCATCCATGGTCTGAAAAGAATACAAATTATAATTGTAAAAGTGAGTCTGTCAAATTGTCAAAATAATTGTAAAACTTGTCGGGAATACTGAGTGAGTCTGTCAAATTGTCAAAATAATTGTAAAACTTGTCAGGAATATTAAGTCAGTCATGTGTCCTCCTGACAGGAGGAACCCACACACACACACACAAATGACACTTGGCACGCAACCACACACACACACAGATCTCCCATCTCTCTTCTCCCTTCTCCCAAACACACACACACACACACAGATCTCTCGATCTCTCTTCTCCCTTCTCCCACGCACACACACACACACACAGATATCTCGATCTCTCTTCTCCCTTCCCCTACACACACACCACGACCTTCTGCTCCTCAGTCCGACAATCTCGAATCCCTCTCGATATCTGGGTGTCGCCGCCGTTGATCGTGGCTCTGGCGAAGTCGGAGTTGGCTCAGTCGTCTGTGGCGGTGCGCCGCTGAACAAGTTTTCAGGTGAGATTCCATTGAAACCCTAAACCAACATCACATATGTTGAATCGTTTATTACCTCTTGCATGCGTGAAATTTGAAGTTTATATGTGAAATTGAAGTTAAAAATTGTGTTTTTGCAAGGTTTTTGGGACGAAATCGGCTCGGGAATAGGCACACCGTCTCCGGCGTTCTTCTCCGACGTTCGGCTCGGAGTCCGATTGCACCGTTCAAAAAAATGTCGCGATATTTCCAAAATATCGCGATATTATCGATATTATCGATAATATCGCGATATTTGGCTGAAAACCATTCGGATACCAATTAAAATATCCATGTCCCGAAAAACCGATAATATCGGCGATATTTCGCCGATATTATCGGCATTTTCTTCCATGGTTTTAGTATGTGTATAATTTTTTTTTTCATCCCGAAGACAATAGACATTAACAAAAGGTCTAAAATTTTACTAATTTCTTTCAAAATTCTATGAAAATAGCCACAAATACAAGTCAAGTGCAAGACACATGTATTGTTTTGGATGAAAAATTTAACGGATTTAGTGCAAGATGACAAATTAGAAATTTATATAAATCCTTTTATAAATTTTGATTTGTTTGTTGTTGACTGCTGATTCACAACTATCCTAACGTGGTTATGCTGATTCCAATTTCTAAGTAAATTTAGAAATTCTAATACACTGCGTAAGATTCTAAATGCACGAATCATAATTTCTAAACTTATAAAACAAATAGATGTATATTAGACCAAAATACTTTCTCCAAATATCATATACGTTATTTTGATAAACATTATACATTTAGTTTACAGTTATACATATATTGAGATTCAGGTCTTGATCTGATTATGATTTAAGCAAATACAACATGTAATAGCGCTCGTTCATCACATTTTATTTTGCATGCCAAGTTTAATGGCATTCCATACGAGAAATTAAAGTGTTACGAGTGCATCATATATAACTCATTCATTCCAAAGTGAGTATTGCTTCGACTACTGGGGAAGTGAAGCAGCCAGTTGATATGGTTGACAAACATCCATTCCATTGGGCTCTGACGCAGAGGCCATTCTTAACCAAACGATTATAGACCGTGCGCCAAACTTCAGCCTTAAAATGATTTTCTGGCCCTATATCAGTATCGACCTGCACAAGAGTATTATTTCTCCAACTTGTAAGAGACCTTCTCCAATCCAAAACACTAAACCACCCTACATTAGATTTTGGCCCTCAAATAGCTTTTTTCCTTTAAGCATGCATGCAATCTTAATATTTAGCAACACGGCAACTACTATATTAACTATAAAACAATTGTTTTACGTTCAACTGTTTGTGGACTACTTTTGTTTATACTAGATAGCTTCGTTTGTTTTCACGATTTACATAATCTAAAGGAAGACAAGTTCATGAATGCACTGTTGGAAATTATAATTATATATATATATATATATATATTTATATCGTAATTATAATTTCAATAATTGAATGAAAAATAATATCACACCTATAAACTAGTGTGCTAATAGGTAGCTATTGTTGAAATTTGAGTGAAATGCTTTGTTAAAATGATACATGTTAAGTGTTGCGGTGCCTTTTGCAGACGTTATATATATTTTGTTGTTGTTGAGATATAGAGTTACACTAGAAATATTGCCCGCGCGTTGCTACGGGATTAGAAATCGTATACACTAAAATCATTTTTTGTAGACGTTATATATTTTTTCATACAAATTATTATACCATTATAAACTCATAAAAATACATACACTAAAATCATTTTTTGTATCTATACACTGATAATTTGACATTCAATACGGAAAACAAATCTATAATTCAGGTTTTAAAATACATTATAAACTCAATTTATATAAACAAAGAATGAGCATCACACCAAACAATTTCATCAACCCCAGAAATCTGATTGCCTCATCACTTCACAAAACAATATTCTTGAAAACAGATTGGAAGCAAGCACCACTAAACTCTGAAGGCTGCACACAGAACCCTTAAAAACCGCTATTTCCTCAAAATGAAAAGAGAACCAAGTTATCTAGTTACACCTAGGATCCAAACACACAAACAAAACCCTCTAAATTAAAAATGATCTCCTTTTTCGTGTATTTATACTTCATCGGATTTGGGTGAGTTGGCGGTGGACTGAATGAGTTGGTGGAAAAGAACTTGATAAGAACTGTGAAATTGAATAATAATGAGAATGAATTGTAGATAATAGATTGAGAAGGCCTTCTACAGAATTTAGACATGTATCCCATTAATACATCTACTCTACAATATAAACAAAAATTTGGAGGGATGAGCACCGTTAATTCGATCCAAGATCTTAGAGTCCATCTAGTAATAAGTACTAACATAACTACGAATGAAAAATACAAAAATTTCAATCCCAAATTGTTTGCTGATCTTAAAAACAAAATCCATGCAACTGAACCTAACTAATACACAGCTCGGCTGAGCCAAAGATTTCAATTTACTGGACACAAAAGCAAAAAGTCACAGAATTTTAGGAGGGTAAGAGCGAGCTGTGCCTAATGCCACCGACCCTACACCAGAAAGTGCATGTACACGTTTACTAAGAAGAAGAAGAAATTGAACTCAATCTGGAGTATTAGGTAAGTGTAATGCTATAGAGATTAAATTTACAAACTAAATGATGTGTCACCAATAGGAATAAACACGTTTATCAACGCTTAAGTAATAAACCAATCATTAACTTCCATGTCCTTTAGTTTCCAAAATTTAGTCTTCCTACATTATTGATTAGGTAAATATCAAAATATTTCAAAAATTGCTAGCCGGTAGCGGGTAAGGACCTTGCATCTAGGTGCTTAAGTGATTTTTTTTTAATTTTAATTAAATTTATTTTATCATATAAATATATGAGTGTTTGTTTATATTTAAAAAAAATGAGAAATTAGGTTCACATCCTTCTTTTTACCACTCCATTGATTAAAATTCTATTCATTTTCAATTTTTGATGATGGTCCTTGGATATTAATAACATCATTAATTATTTGAATAATAAAATATTTTTATTTTTAAATATATTCTTTTAGTGTTAAAAATGTTACAATGGATATATTTATATTTATGGCTAAATTCTTTATCATATATTTTTATTTTTAGTTTGTACCTATTTTTAATTTGTACCAATTTTTTTTTTCATTTTTAATTTGTACCCATATATTAGTTTCTTTTTGTGCCCATATTTTTTAAAGTTTTATTTGTGTTTGTACCCATGTGTATACCATCACATGACATTGTATATTTAATCAATGATAGAAAAATTACATATGGTATATTTATGTTTTATGCCTAAACTTTGTATCATATATTTATATTTTTAGTTTGTACCCACTTTTAATTTGCAATATTTTTTTAAATTTGTAGTATTTTCTTTTTAGTTATATTTTGTACTCATGTATTAATTTCTTTTAGCGCCTATATTTTTTAAAAATTCATTTGTACTCATAATTGTTTAATCTTTTATCTGTACCCAAATTTATTTATAATGTACCCATTATTCTTTATTAATGTACCACTTTGTTATATGTGAAATGTTCCAATGTTTTTAACACTATCGATACATTCTTTTGCCATTTATTATTTCTTATTTTTACATAGTTTTTATCCATTTATTCAATCAAAATGTTTTATTTTTTTTATTGTAACCGTTTCTAATAGTATTATAATGAGGGATTTTAAATTTATAGGATTATAAATCTCATAAAATATCAAACAATTAATGTCAAAATTCTAAAAATATAAATATTAATTGTAATATAATGAGGTGTACAAAGTCAAAGGACTTTGATCAAACTTTGAATATCATTAAGGTTTTAGTCAAAGAATATTAAAGATTAGGGATCGCATTCAAAGTATCTCTTAAAAAAAATTATATCATATAATAAGTGTTCATCCAAGTATCCAATAAGTCTTCTACAATTTATTGAAAACATAAGATACAAAAACGAAAGTCTTTATTTTCTAATTTTTAAATACCTAAGGATTAATTTCGGCGGTGACGAGCCACCTATTGCCTAGGCTCAGCTGCCTTTTAGAACAGTGGTACATATAGACTTACCGTGTTTGTAAAAAGGTGCCGATTCCATGGGTTCCTCCATGCCAGCATCCAGTCGCAGATACTACCAACCGCATTCTTTCCGCGATACACAACAGCCGCAACCGATCCAGTAGCCTGTCCGGCAGTTTTGACGTGCAAAAACACACCCCACTGCCCGTTTGCGATCTGGTATGGGGAGGTCCCAATGTGGCCATACCAATCAATACAAGTAACATATGTTAAAGTATCGCCAGTTGCATTGTAAACAAGGCAAAGTGAGGACACTCCAATACCATATTGCTTCTTCAAATTCTCCACATGTGTTCGGGCGTCGACGTCCTTCCCCTGATCGTTTTTCTTATACATAGCCACATGTGCCCTATCTTTTTTATCTATTCTCTTCCCAATATACTCTGGCATCCCCTCTAATGTTGCGTTTGTGATGGGGTTTCCAAATACGTTAGAAGCCATCTCCCTCCCTACCTCTGTCTCCCTCTCTCTTTATGTATGTGTTGTGTGTGTCCACAACTACTCCGTTTATATAGTCTCGTTTTATTTTTAAACACAGGTGAGGATGTGGAATGTCATCCCACATTGAAAAATTGGAAAACTTTGCATGTGCTGATAAATAAAAAGTCAAATTATTCCCCATGTTCCAATTAATTTTTCTGAAAATATGACTTTAGCCCCTGAAACTCAAGTTTCTTTACATAAAACCCGACATAGTCTTTTTATCTGAATAAAACCCAATGACTAGGCTCCACATAAGCAAATTCATTAATTTTGTTTGCCTTTACACATTTTACATTTTGCAGATGCCTAAAATACCCCTAATTACCGTTTTAATGTAAACATTTAAATCTATGCAAATTTGAAAGGAGAGATTAATGGAAAAAAATGCATTAATGTTTAAAATAATAATATGTCATAACAAATTGTATGTTAAGGAAAAAAAGAACTAATAATGTTATACTTTCCTTCGTAATTATTTTTCAAATTTGCATAAAATTAGACAATTTTAATTTAATCTTGTCATTTTCTTACCAAATGAAAATATGAAAAGGCACTATAAAAATAATTTAGCTATATTTAAAAAATATAGGTAAATTATTTGGACATGTGTATTAGTAATAAATTTGCCCTGTATATGTAATGATACATGTAAAATAATTTACTTATAAAATAAAAAATGTTATTTGATTTCAAAATAAATTTATCTATATTTTATATAATAATATAGGTAAATTATTGCACACATATATATTAGTAGTAAAATGTGCCCAATATATATAATAATGCATGAAAATAATTCACCTACAAATAAAGGAAATTTGATTAAAAAATAATATATCTACTACTTTTTGTTTATAAATTTCAATTTCTTTTTTTTATATTACAAACATAATGTACCTACAATATAATTTACCTATTGTTTTAATCCTAAAAGAAAATAATGTATCTACTGTTTTATTTTTTATTTATTTTTTGTCGAATAGCTACTGTTTTATTTTAGTAGAGATAATTTGTCTTGGTTTAATTCTTACGAAATAATTTAGGCACTGTTTAACTTTACCAAAATAATGGAACTACTATTTTAATTTACCTACAAAATAAATGCTATTTGATTCAAAATTAATTTACTTATATTTTACATATAAATATAGATAAATTATTTTTAACAAGCATATATGATAACAAACAAAAAATGCCTAATGTATGTAATAATCTAGGTAAAGTAATTTACCTACAACATAAAAGAATATTAATTGGTTCTTTATTGTTTTTTATCCAACAATATTATTTGATGCAAAATAACTGATTGTACAAAGGATTTTTTTTTTCATATGAAAAATTTGCCCATAATTGTTTATGAACATGGCTAAATTAATATATATATATATTCCTAATATTTACCATACAAGAAAGGTGAACTTTTCCATATGGGGTTAATTACTAATCATAATTAGGGTGAGTAATAATATTTATTGACATAATTAGGGTTTTGTGGCATAAGTTGTAAATATGTGATAATAATTGGTTACATATTTGTCTACATGGTACTCTATTTGAAATTTGGGTTTTATTTGCATATTTAATATTAGGTGGGTTGTTTGGAAAATAAGAGTTTCAAGGGTCTTTTTCTAAAGAACCCTTAATTTTTTGCTGAAACTTCAATTTCCTAAAAATCACTACTACATTAAACAGTTTTTGCGACAAACAAAAGTTTGTCGTGTAAAGACAATTTCCATCTCTTAAATATTGGCACGACGAATTCTTCGTCGCAAAGACGTTGTCGCGCAAACGCCAGAAAGACGCATCACGCAAAGCTCATGAAGAATACGTTTGCGCGACAAAGACAAATATTTTCATCGCGCAAGGACGAATAGATTCGTCCTAAAACATAGTGGAACGAAGAGTATCGTCGTCCATAACTAGAGGGTACAATAGCTTGTCGTCAGAGTTAAGTTTATAGGGATGACAAGAAGTCGTTAGGTAAGTCTATGCGTGATGAATATTTTCGTCAATTAAACAAGGATGTAACAAAATTTGTCTCGTAATATTTGTTATCGAGTAATTTCAATATTATTTAGTTAGACCCTTATTTAATTATGAAATTTTCGTCGTATATGATTTTGCATGACGAACGACTTCCTTACTTTAATCTTATGCGATGAAGGTAATACGTGTTGCAAAGTTTTTTTAAAAATTTTTTCCCTTTATTTATCATTTTTTATTAAATTACAAATTTTAATTAAGTTTTTGTAATTATTTTAATTAAATTATAAACAAGAATTAATAAACAAAAAAATTTATTTATTATATATATATTTACTTTTTATAACATCCGAACATTAAAAAAAAAAAGACTACAAAATAAAATCGTGGAGATCTGCTACATTGGGCTACTGGGTATCTACTATGTGGAGTGGCTGGGAGCTCGAAGGTAGGTGAGGATCAACAGGTGGCATCATTCCTGGAAGCCAGACAACTGGAGGAAGTGTAAGATATGGCTCATCTTATTGCCCTGGGCCACAAGCGCGACATCCTGGGATGATATAGCCGGCCAATCTGCTCCGCAAGCTGAGCATCTTGAGCAAGCTTATGCTTCAGGTCTGCAACTTCCATTGTCAACCAGGGCCGGCCCAGAGTATATAGGGGCCCCATGCAAGACATAGATGGAGGCCCTTCAATTTTTTTAATGTTTTTTTCTTTTTTTTTTTTGATTTTTTTTATCTATAAAAATAATATATTACAAGTTACTACAATCAAAATAAGTTGTTTGATTGGCCGATTTTTTTTTCCTTACCTTTAAAGGTGTTGGATACGTTTTTGTTATCTCAAGTTTGCAAATTTGCAAAAACTTAAAAAAATAGCAAAGCAATGTCACTGGGATTCGAACCCAGCACATGGGCTACAAGATATAAGAGCTAAACCGATAGTGTTAGAACCACATATATGATTGTCCTTTGCCTCTAATTTATTTTAGGGGTGTGCTATCCACACACCCCTTTTTACTACTCCCACACCCTTGTTAATTTCTGTCCTTTGATCTTCTTCAATTCATCTGATCCGACGGCCGAAAATTAAAAGGGTGTGAGAGAACTAAAAAGGAGTGTATGGATATCACATCCCTTTATTATTTGCATCTGTTTACATGTAATGAAAATTTGGGGGCCCTTCCGAATCGGGGGCTCTATGCGGTGGCACCTTTTGCACACCCTCAGGGCCGGCTCTGCTATCAACAAGATGACCTGTCCTGTGCTCTGTCTGAAAGATGAGGTGGCAATGTCACAATGGCGCGAATTATTAATGATTAAGATACGTTAGTACGTTTTCTTATTTTCTTGTGCGATCTTAGTTCCGAACTATTAGGAAGATTGAAATTATTAGTTAAGATCTAATATCTAGCATGGCTATGAGTTTGGTTTCTTAGCATATATGCATGTTGAGTCCTGTTAACTAATGGGAGTGCTTCTCCCTCCCCAAAAGAAGGGAGATATTGTTTGAATTCAATCTGCATTATCTGTTTATATTAGTAGTGTGGCCAAGAATTTGTCGGCATGATTTATATATTATGTGTATGACTGTTAATTTATGAGTCATTAATTGAGATGTTTAGGCATAAAGATATATTGCAAAAGCGGGCGTTAATCGCATAATTAGGCTTGATGAATATATCATGATATAATATTTTTGTATGCTTTTATGCGTAAAGACCATGTAATCTGGGTTACCGTTGCAATCAATTATGTTTGGCAAATAGATCGAGGAACCGGTATAACTATTCGTTGACCCCACATAGGCACATGCATATCTTTACAAGTAAGATTTTACGTATGTGAGGCATATCATGGAGATCGATCTAGAATTCATACTTGACGTTGACTCTTTTTAGAAGAGAATTGTTGGTTAAGGCCAAGTGAAATGTTATAGTTTAAAATTTGTAATATCTACAAGTGCAGAACGGCCACTGTGGTGTATTGGATTTCAGATATGATATTTATTTGATTATGCCGACTCGTACCACGTAGTGAATAAAGTTTCTTTTGTAGAAAGGATTTGCTTTTGAAATTGATGTATTTAGTGTACGTTTACTGATTGTGGTGCCTCTTTCTTCGATTCGAGAAAGAGAATATATTCTTAAGTTTGATTTACAGATAGATACGTGAAGACCTGAAGGCCAATTATAAAGAAACTTAAATGGTCAGTTTTGTTTCTCAATTAAAGATACACGATCAAGAATATGGAACCATATATTTTACATTGTGGTTTGGCAATCTCAAATAATGTGTTATATCTGTGAAAAAAGTTTATGATATGTACTTCCTAGTAAGGAAGTAAGGGCAGCGACATAATGAGTTTGTCAAGAACCACATAACTGAGTTTGTCATAATCGTGATTAGTGGAGACAAACAGCCAAGGAAATAATTGATTTTGAGAAGCAACAAAAATATCATGTTGACTTTAGTCAAATTATAAAATTTGAACTCATTTGAGATGAGTTAGTTTACAGCGTTTTTTAAAAGATGACAGGTGAAGTGCGGTGGCCATGTTAGTCTTGGATGAGGCTAACAGCCAATTCCTTTGAGAAGAATATGACACCAAAAGTGTGGGAGTCTTCTATAAGTCTTACGTAAATTTGCAGAAGACGTGATGTTGCTTATTTAGTAAGCAAATAACTACTCTCGGATGAAATATAATTTCATAATATGGAAGTGTACACCATAAAAGATAGTCAACTTAAGTGGTATTAATTATTGAAGGATTGACTAGAGAGTAAGTTGATCATCGAGGAAAATGAGGTAAAAGCCAACATAACTAATGAGTCAGCCAACAGAAACCTAATTTAGTTAATTGGAGATCTCATGTTCTAAGTTTAGTAGGCAAACTGGTTGGGTATGATTCAAATAAGTTATCACATTATATATCTCATTCCTATGGTGAGAGATGTAAACCATGTAAACCATCAGAGGTTATTGAAGAAGAAGGTTATACAGAAGCAA